AAAAAAAGGCAAAAAATGTTCGAAATAACTAAAGCCTATACTAGATTGTAAGATAAAACGAGAACATAAACATTTATTTTCCGCATTTTCTTCGCAACTGCAAATGCTTTTCTCCCAGTGTGTCTCTTTGTTAATATCCGCTGAATAATATACAACGAACAACGAACACGTTATAATCAACGGCCCCTTATTAAAGTATACCTACAACCAGTGGCATTGCTGTTAATATTTGTTTTACTTATTAGCATTTATTCGTAAACGATTCTTGTTAAAATTGAATCGTCTTATTTTTTATATCATCCTCTGTTTCTCTTCTCTGTTTGTTTTGTTTTATATTTCTTCGAAAATTTGTCAGTAGAAATGGTATATATTTTTGGGAGGAAAGGAAGCTATCCTACATTTGATCTTCCAATATTCCCTCAAACATATCCTATACTCATACCGCTTATGTGTTTACCGTTTGAGACGGCTAACGAGAGAGGAAAAGAGAAAGAGAGAGAAAGGAAAAGGGAAAGAGAAAAAGAGTTTACTTACAACTATTTGTTTCTCGTTTATGTCAGCCGTACTTAATAAAGCTTTGACAACCGTTTTCTTATCTTTCTTTCTTTTTTCTTTGTCTTATTAATAATAAAAGAGAGAATTGGTATCTCACTTATGATACATGATAACCCACGCACAAATCGTAAAAATTTTCACAGCATCATACGGATCGTTCTACATGCATATTTAGCATCATTTCGTTTTAATCGGAAGAATATTGGCAATGATTTACTATTAATAATGCAAAGATGTAAACTATAACTTTCTAAAGCGTGTATTTTGGTCATCGATAATAACATCATCTCTTTCAAATTTCCCTCCTTTTAAAGACCCCCGTTCACGTGATATTTCTCTAAAAGGCGCGTTATTTCAAAAATGGTTATTGATAACCTTTGAACAAATGGATGACCTGACGCTTTTTTTAATTCTTTTTTCTCTTCTTCTTCTTCATCTCTTTTTATTCGTATCAAATAGATAGACGGGTCGAGATTGGTTATTATGACACTAAAAATTACATTGAAGTATTATCTAGTTTGGTTTGTCGGTGAACACACGACTAATTATCATAGATCGTTATCAGGTGAATTATCTGGATTAATTATCATGGATAATTAATCATCAGGTGATTCTAGGTATACCGTATATTAAATATCTAGAATTACATAGACGTTTTTCCTTCTTATCAATTTGAAATGCAAGAAAAGATTAGATATTTGAAGGGCTTATAGTATTGACCGAAATCTAATTAACATGGGTCCCAAAATTAGCCCTTTCGATGTAACTTTGACTATTTATGAGCGTTCGATATCGTAAACGAACATAGGCAACATAGAATATTTTAGGACCCAAATTAATTAGACATTTTTTACTCGTCTTAGTGAATACTATAAATCATTCAAATATCCCTTTCTTTTTTTTTTTTGACTGTCCCGTATAATATATATTAGATTTACAATTAATTTAAAATGAATACATTTTCTTATCTTTTTTCCAATAAACGATGTTTCATAATTTTCACAATGAACTATTAATGATTTCAAGTTAATATGCTTTGCAATATAAATATATGTGTGATAAGATCTTCTTTCTTACAATTAAAGAACTGTAATTTTGAACAAAGTTTATATTTCTATTAATATCTTTATAAAATGAATCGTTATTTTTGTGTGTATTTTAATTTTTATTTTTATATACTGCAAAAAATTTTGGCAAATGTTTATAATAATAATAATAATAATAATAATAATAATAATAATGGTAATGATAATAATAGTAGTATATAAATAAAGAATTTCAACTTTTTGTTGTTGTTACTGGGAATAATAAGTTATAAAAAACAAACGAAATAACGACTAAAATAATTTTCATATTATAATCATTACATTATTTTTTAAAGGGATATAAATAATATTATTATGAATAATTGTAATTGATTTTCTAAAAAAGTAATCTTAACAGAGACTACGGATCAAAAGGAAGCAGGGTTGCATTTCGATTTGATAAAGATGATAAGAAATTAATCGATATCGCCTATATAAGATCCTTTGATATTTCTACACGTATACCTAAAACTTCTTAATTTGACATTTTTCTCTCTATAAATATAAAACCATTTTATACCTACAATATGATTCCAGATAATATAATCATAAGACATTACTTTTTTTGATTCGGGAACTTTAATTCAATACCGTCTAACAAAAAGTAATATTTATCTATTATTAATTATTTGAATAAATCACTCGGAATTATTATAGTGATTCAAATGAACAGAATACTTTTTCTATAGATACAAATAATGTTGATCTGATTTATAATCCCTCAGCTTATTATTTCGTGTACCAAAAAGTGAAAATATTATAATCATAAATGTTTGTTATGTACTTCAAATTTTCATGATACATACAAACACTGCAATTTACAGAAACACATCTTTACATTATTTCATGAAAGGTTATTACTTTGTTCTTAATTCCTTTGTTTTTTTTTTTATTCATGTAAAGGAGCACGTTTGATGTTAGCCAAAATGCCTACGTTTTACAAAAAACTATCACTTTTTGCAGTCGATGCGGTATATTCGCAATTGCACTGTAATGTACTGAAGCATATACAGGAGCTGATACAGCAGCCGTTTAGCTTATCTGATTTTATTTCTTTTTCTTTCACACAAGCGCTACGCTATTCACACACTCATCAGTAGTAAGGTTTACTAGCGTTCCGATAAACCACACGAAGCCTGCTCGCGCTCTTTTTATCCTGCGTTCGTGATAAAGAGACAAATATCTCAAAATTATCACTTACGCAACCAGTCTATTTTTGGCACGAGTGCAACTTCTATTAGGAAGAATTATACAATTAATTGCTTTTATAATAAACATTGTCTACAAACAATTCAAAAACATTCAACATATTAATATATGTTTATTAAGCATAAGAAATACTAGTAGACAAAAAACAAAAACTTCCCTCTTTTGTAGTTCTGTTCATTAAATGAAAAACACAAAATCAAAAATTATTTATAATATAATTATTGTTAATATTTGAAACGTCACAATTTTGAAAATGAAAATTTATTGTTTTTTTTTTAAAGAAATCATTTTTCAAGGGAAGTTTATTTTGAATATTAATTTAAGAAATATATAAATATTTTGTATTAAGATTAATAACAAATATTGTTTAATCCTTCCAACGATTAAAGACCCACTCTCTAGTCCATTCTGTTTTATAGCCAAAATGTATAATCCGAAGAAAAAAAAACAAATCTTTTGTCCTTATTCTCATCAAGTTCCAAGTAAACCCTTTAATCAATGTCCGTGTTTTACACCACCATATGTCACATGGCGAATGTTTATTTTTTCTACATTGGTTGTTATCCCTCCTGCCTTCTTTATCTTGTTCAAGATACTTTAATTGCTTCCAGTCCAGTAGCTGGGACTATACCCAGGCTTAGCTTGAGCTTTATTTTGTGAACTGGTATTGGACCTTTGACCTGTGCTATTGGTACCATCCTGATGAAGTGGTTGATGTAATTGATGAGGCATTGTGGGAATAAATAAGTGTGGAGTACCATATCCTCCAGGCAATCCTGCATTTTGGCTACCAGTAATACCAAATGGTGGTGGAGTCGCAGAATGAAAAGCTTGTTTTTCATATGACTGTAATTTGTTGTGGATTGTTGTTATTCAATGAAATAACTTTATAATACTAAATCAATATTACATTATACACATTATATATGTATACACGACAGCAACAAAGATTTAATCCTCTATGGGTCTATGTAACTTTGAAATCACACACCAATAAGTTAAATATTATTTTTTACTCTAATCAGGAACGTATATAACATTTTATTATCTTTTCTGTCTGCAATCAATAAAAAATTCTTTATATAGATTATCAATTTCAACATGAAATATAATAGTAAATTTAATGTTTTTGAAAATTATTAATTTATATTTAGAGATTAATATTTGTTTATAATGTAATATAATATATAATAAAGTTATATAAATTTGATTGAAATCACGAAAGAAACATCAACCCATAATAGAAGGTTAACTTACGGAATATTAGTTATTTCAAAATGAACAATCAATACTATTACTTACATTAACTTTGCTAAGTGCTACATGACTTTTTGCATACATAGTTGCACTAATGTCAGTCGCAGAAGATCCTCCAGTACTTGTGTTCGTGCCAGACGTGCCAGTTTTACCAGCTTGTGTGCCGGTATAATTACTGCCGGCAGCTTTATATTCACCTGATGGTCCTGCAGATGCCAAAGCATCGTAACTAGCACCACCACCATAACCAGATCCATAACTTCCTGGTTTAGCGCTGTATGCTCCGCTATTTGTTCCAGCATTCCCTGCTGTAGCTATCTGCTATGGTAAATTATATTAATAGTATTTTAAATAAAATCAACTATAATATAAATCATTCAAAGAATCTTACGGGGTAAATAGCAGGAGTTCCATATTGAAAACCTCCTGGCATTATGCCTCCGCCATATGTGAAATATGCATAACCTGGAGGAAGTGTTGGATTTATCATAGGTTGTTGGTGCTGTGTTGCAGTCTGCAAATATTATAAGTATATAAATATCTCTTTAATGTTCTAAGACACATATTCATTAATAAAATTATCACAATTAAATCAAGCTGTTGCAAAAATACTATTAAATACGCTAAATAAATTAATTAGGTACTTAAATCTTACCTGTTGCGACATGGTAGAAGGTACTGGCGACGCATTACTATCAGTTCTGGCAAACCTAGCGTCACTAATACTGGTATAAGCGCCTTGGACTCCTTGTACTCCTTGGACTCCTTGTACACCGGATAACGCATCACCTCGTGCCCCACCAAGACTGGTTGCTGGTCCAGTCGTCTGATAGCCCAGAGCCGCGTCATAGTAACCAGTAGTGGGCTGCAGGTTAGTCAGGGAGGCCAAACACAAAACTACATGCATACACTGTGTACTTCAAATACAAGGACGCTAACTAAGTTCTAACTCTACATGTACTGGACAAGGATGGACAATATACGGTAAATTATAACCATGCTTCATAGTTCAATTTATTTAGATAAGTATTTTTAATTATGATTAAATAAAATACTTGATCGTAACTATGAAACGTAGTATAACGTCCACTTGCTGGGATTATGATGTTTATTGTCATACAATTTGAAATACATGACATCAGATACTGAGCAAATGAAATCAATTATAAATGGAAAAGAAAGATAATTAAGCTATGCCATGTCTGCGATCAAGATCACTCTTATTTTTTTTTCTTTAAAATATAACTATGCTCTCAATGTATCATTTTCCACTTATACCTTTTTCAATTGATCGTAGACTTTCTTCAAATTGCTACCGAATAATTCAAAGGAATAAAGATGATTTCAATAAAGTATTATTTGTCTTATATGCGAAATGCTCTTTTAGAATAGAATATTAAATTTAAACATTTTTAAATTCAACACTAAGAATTTGATCAATGAAGTGATTGAATTGCGAGCAACTACCAAGCATTTAAAAAATGATTAAGATGCCATTCTGTAAATAAAGTAAAGAGTGATAACATTATATAGAACAATGTGATTCAGAGCACCCTAATTTAAAATTGTCATAATGCATGTGTCAATACTGTCTTCTTTCAAGAATGATTCATAACTCATGTTGGTGAAGATAAAAACTGATAAAAGGAATGTGTGCTGCATCAATATACATTACTCTAAAAAAGCAATTCAATTCATTCAAGTAAAGACGTTTGGCTTTATAGGAACATTTACTTGAATGAATTATAATGAATATTGATATAAGGCAACTTTATAAATCAGGCAATAACTGACCATGTGAGGTATTCTTTGTTGCATTATTTGTATATCCTCGTAGCTATACATTGGTTGTTGGAAAGTGTACGGCACTCCTTGGCCCATAATGTATTGATGACTAAGCATCGGTGCCATGCTACCGGCCGCACCGCCACCTGTTATGTTACCACTACTATTACCCGTTACAACACCACTTGATGTGCTTTTAGGTACAGCTGACAAAAAAAAACATTCGTTTATAAATAATTATATATTATCAAATTAATAAATTATACAAAACTTATTGTAACTTACCATTCGAACTAGTTACTTTTGTTTGAGAACTATTCACAGAGGTTGAACTAAGTCCTAATGTGGTTGTCGTTGTTGTTGCAAGAGAATTATTAGAAGTCGTTGTGCTATTTTCATATTGAGAATCTTTTGTTGTACTACTATTCAATTTATGATTGTGTGATGCAGTTTGTGGTTGACTGGCATAGTTACCATATGCATAAACCTGTAAATATTCATTTTGAAATTATTATCTATTTATAAGTTTATCATCAACTTATAAACTTAATCTGTAAGAGTTTTAAAGAAAGATAAAACTTACAGACTGGGCTGCATTTTGATAAGGTCCTGTAGTTTGAGTTATAGGAGAACTAAAGGTAGTAGCAGATGGTTGATAAGCTTGCGGATTCGATTGGAAAGAGGAAGTTCCTTGATATCCACTCGCTTGATATGGAACATTACTATTCGATACTGTGTTAGTTGCAACAGATGCTGCTTGATATTGAGACGTTGTAGTGGACGCATAACCACTCGTTGTTTGATATACCTAAGACAATAAATATATTATAGAATAGTAAATAATATAAGAATATATAAAAATATGTTAAATCTATATATTTAAGCTACCTGGTTTGTAGTAGTTGGCTGATTATAAACAGAAGCTGCAGATGTTGACGCAGATGGAGATGCTTGACTAAAGTTAGAAGAATTTGATTGTGGGAATGATGAAGAGGAATTATAATTATTCTGTGAAACAGTAGCTGTTGTAGAATACGTATTGGTATTAGTAACTGAAACAGTCTGAAAAGATTGTCCTGATTGCGTATTTGTTGAATACGCATTATATGAATTTGGTGTGGCATTAGATGGTTGAAACGTTTTTTGTGGTTGATAAGTTGCTGTGCCATATGTAGCTGAATTTCCTGGAGACACTTGTGATGTAAAATCTTGTTTGGTTATATCCAAAGTTTGACCAGTATTTCCACGTCCCGCAAATGTTTGAGAATTTATTGAGATATCATTTGATACAGGTAAACTGTCATTGCTTGATAGCTGAAAAAAAAGATATACAATTAAAGTGTTAATTAATTATACAAATATATTATAATTGTAAATTCAAATTTATTAATATATAATTATAATTTATACCATTTGAGAAGTGGCGTTGTAAGGGGTTGTGGAGGTTTGTTTAGTTTCTATATCAATAGAACTATTTGTGCCAGAAGTCGTATTAATAGTATTTGTTGTAGAGGGAACTTCAACATTAGAAGTTGCATTGTTACTAGAATTATATTTTTCCGTAGCTGATCCATCGAGTGAGCTTGAATCACTTCCAAATTCAAGTGCACCAAATTGAACATCAAGAAATCCAATGCCACTGTTAACTGCATCGCCCGGCATTTCTACCGCAGTGGATGGAATCTTTGATGGAGGTGGCACTCTTGGACGTTGTTTAGATTGCCTTTGTGGCTATAATATTAAAAAAATATTATAAGCTTGTTAATATATTTTATACAAACTAAAAGAATAATTGATTAATTTATAAATTAAATACCTGATTAGTAGTAATTTGCGACGAAAATGAAGCCTGTCCGGTTGTTTTTATATTTTCACTAGTTTGCTGAGTTAATTGCGTCAAATATTGAGTCTGTGCAGCAGTTAATACACCACCACTAATGGCATTTGGTTGTTGCGATAGTTGCATTGTTGGTAAGCTCAATACAGTTTGCTGCTGTTGAGCTTGTGGAATCAATGTTTGTTGTTGTATCGTAGGAATATCGGATAATTTCGTCATTTCCTTATAAGTAATGAATCAAATAACATTATTATATATATCAAACAATATTGAAAAGCTATCCATATTAAATTTAATAACTCATCACAAAATTACTTACTTCTTGTTGAAGTAGTCCCAGGTTAACAGTCTGATTTGATTGGATTGATTGTAATTCTTGAATCTTTGGTTCCTCATGTACTGGAGCTTGTTCTGTCAAAGATGTACTTGGTGTAAAAACCTTGGTATCGGCCAGTGATCCGGTATATTCTTCATTATCCCATTCTTCTGTTGTTTCATAATTATTCCATTCGGCTTTAAGGTATTTAACATTAATAATTCTTAAATCTGATTTCAATTATAAAAAAATATATAATACATACCGATTTTAGGTTGTTGGACTAAAGCCTGTTGTTCTTCGCTTCCTGCCCAAGTGTCAATTGGTCGATTGAAACTATGAGCCGAAGAAGCAGAGGCTTCGTTTCGATTTGCAAATGCTCGTGGGCCAAGACCTCTTCCACCTCCGCGTCCTCCACGACCTGATCTACCAGGGCCACCTCTGCCTCCTCTTCTACTACCACCATAGCTGCCATCTCGAGCGCTATCTTCCATGTTTCTCTCGTTTTCCTTATTTTCACGTCCACGCCCTAAATAAATAAAATAGAAATGAATTTCGAACCTAAAAGAAACAGTGATTCTATTTATCTTCTTTGTTTAAAACTTACATTCACGATTATCATGATTAGCACGGCCTCGCATTCGTGGTGGTCCACCACTTCGTTGATTTCGTCTCTCTTCCCAATCTCCGCCATCATTTTGACCACTGGTTTGGTCGATCATCTGTTTTGACCCACTTGGTTGACGTGGCTTCTTTTTCTTCACCTCCCATTCTGTCTTAACACCCTCTAGAAGGTCCATAGCAGCTCTATTCAAGTCTCCATCGCTGTCGTGCACGGCCATAATGACCTCATCTTCAGAACGACAAGTTAAATCCATGACTTCTTTAATACGTTCTTTAAACGAAGGATCTTCGACACCTCCTACACGTGTATCAATGATTTGTGCATGTCGCACCTGCATAGTATTTGACTAAAAAAAAAAGAGAAAAGAATGCCATGATACTTCAAACAAAATCCTGAATGAATCCAAGAACTGTTTAATTTAATCAATGTTTTCATATTAATCAGTTAAATATATCTAATAATGATTATTGTTTATCATCTCTTTATTATATTTAACTAATATATAATTTCTTATTTAATATATTTAATTTTTTGTCTTTTTGTTTTATTATTATTATTATTATTATTATTATTTGTTCTTTTTAAACAAATAATACCTTAGTATTATGAACAATAATGTATTTAATTACAAACCTGCACTTTGTCGTGCTTAGCCGAATCTGATGTTTTAGTTGAATGGTCAGATTTAGTATGTTGTGATAATTTTATTTTATTTCCTCTTCCGCTGGAGGATACTGATGTTTTATTGTTTGAACTCATCGCCAAATATAGACCAGCAAACTATTTTTCACTCACCTATTACTCTATATACACTTTCTATTTACAATCTGTAACAAAAAAGAACAATATTTCAAATATTTGTATCAAATAGATAAAGTAGTATATAGCATATTACATATGTTATAAATTATTATTTAGAATAAAGATCCTTCAATATTATCAAATTCATAATAATAGATCTTATCTGTCGATATTTGATTACAAAGGTCTTTAGAAATTACAACATTATCTAATAGAAATGTATACAATGACTAATGCATCATAATATCCAGAAATAAATGAAGATATACAAAGTAAAATAAAATAAAATATTTCTATAAAATATAGAACAATTATTTTTGTAAAATTAAAATAAAATTAATGAAAAGTTATTAATTAAATATATGAAATGAATAATAATTCTATTATATGATACAATTTGTGTTAATTTGCAATTTTAATTACTATTATTATAGTATGTAAATCTAAATGTGTACACGCACGTGTTACAAATTTATAACTAAGCTTAACGCCTAAACACAAGTATGTACACGTGGGAATAAAACCAATGTATCAAAACAAAAATTGCTCAACATACAACAGCTTAAAAAATATAAATTAAAAATTAATAAAAAGAACCTTTGATCTTCTAGGTATTACTAACCAATTAAAAGTGAAAATAGACTAAAGTTAAAGAATAGCTTTCATTACAAGAAATTTCATATGGCCACGTGTTAAGATTAGAGACATTAGCATAATAATGACCTACGATAAGTTAATGCATTAAAATGCATTAATCATAGAAGGTTAGGACAGTTGAGTAATATTCCTCTAGGAACACAAATTTAAAAAATCCAATTATTATATAATCAAGGAATTAAATCTGAAGAAGAAACAATGGGATGATCAAAATGTGCGTTCAAATAACCAATAACACGATCATATTGCAGAATTATTCTTGATCCTTCTCAAGGAAGAATAGGGTAGCATTTTTTTAGAAAATCCGAACGATACTCTCAGAGATATAAAAATTTCAAATAAAATTACCAAAAAAAACACATATTTATCACCGATTTGAGAAATAATATCAAAAGACAAATAATTTAACGATAATATGAGGAACGATAATGAAGAATAGCACAAAAGGCACTCGGTTTGGTAGATCCTCGATTAAGGAACAACAGCTTCGGAAGAACTCTCACTCAATATTGTAGTAGAGACGAACAGAAAGGTGTTCATAAGGATAGTAACTTCCGTAACGATGAGAATGTAGTCATAAGCTTTTAGTAGACCATGTGCACGGGAGACGCCATTTCTGGATCTACGAGGAAGGCTTGTCAACCATCGTCGCATCGAAGCATCGATGGTTTGCCCGTAAGAAGGTTCAGTTTAAATATTTGCGTTTAACTCACGGTTATTACGAAGGTTGTTCGCGTCCTTTGAAGCGCATGCAAATGCAGAAATAAGAAGAATTCACGACGCCTCGGCTTTTTCGGCCGCGGCGCGCGAAAAAACACGAAAAAAACAACGGATTCACTCGTACCTGGTTAGTGCGCTCAAAACGCATTTGTGGTCACGTGACCGCTGTTTTCCCCCTCTTACGACTAACAGCACCACCTTTACCTAGGAGGTTTCGTATAACAGAGCATGCCTGACCAATTTCGACTAGAACGATTATGTTTACTAACTTATTCTTTCTAAATGTTCCTAGAACTTTTAATCTTCCTTTTTTTTTTTTAATATCGAACCCTTCTCTCAATCATCCAATAATAATATTCGACTTTGAAAAATCTAGTGAAAAGAATTTTTTCATAGTCAAATTGATTTTGAAAAATATTCGTTAAGAAAAATTTAATTATTTTTTTAAAACGTTCTTCCGTTTCTCCACTTCTTTTTCTCTCCAGTTTTGTTAGTATTTTTTTATTAATTTTATGTTACTAGCACTGAAAAAATTGACCAATCAACAGGTGTTTTGAAAATTCGTCCAATCAAATTAATTCTATATAAATCTCTAATTCTCATTTGTCTACATATTTCCTAAAGTATAAATAAGGTCAGTCACCTTATTATTATCATTATTATAAAATCGATTCAATATTTCTTCGCTTTTATTTAGAATGGAAAATTACAAGAACAAAATGCTTTATTTGAAAACTACCTGAAAATGCATTCTGTTTATTGCATCTAATGCATTGACACATTTGCACAGATGGTAATGTTATGTTTCATGAATGTGTAGTCTGATGTGCTTTAAGTTTCGTCATGAAACTGAGCAAGTTTGACGTAGAAAATAATATGATCCTGATTTTTAATTTAACAGATGTCGTGGACTATTTAATCAAGAATAATGGTTATAAATAATAACAATAATAATATAATTTGTGCATATTAGAACAATATTAGAAAAAAATGCATACCATTTTAAATGACACTTCTGAACGAAGATTTGAAATACAATGCAAATTGGAATCAGAAATTGCAACTTTAGAAGCATTGAAAGAAGCAGAAGAAAGAAGTAGAAAATTAACAAGTGGTGTTGTTGGAATACTTTCCTCTTTGGAACAACGTTTGGCTACTTTACGACGTACCATTCTTCCTGTTTATAATGAAACTGGAAATTTACAATCACAACAACATAGTACGTATACAATTTGAAATAATCAAATATAGTAAATATTTCTACCTTTTATTATCATCTGTCATTGCCTAATATTTATATCTATATTTATTGTAGATATTGAAAAAACACTTTGCATATTGGATCATGCTATTGGATATTATGGCGTATGTCAAGAAGTAGAAAAGTCAATACGTAATGGACCTAGTAGTTCTGCAGGTTTAAACAATTTTCTTGATTCTATGAATCGTTTGTACAACGCTCAACGATATTTTCAAAAAAATAATCCAAGTTCTGTGGAATTAGAGAACGTTACAAGTTTATTTGCCATTGGATTAGAATCTTTGTATACAGAATTTAATGATATTTTAACCAGACAAAGTAAACCCATTTTACCAATTGTTCTTTTGGATCTTATTGGTTCTGATGAGGATACGAGCGGTGAAGATGCACCTCAATCATTATGCCAATTACCAGAAGCTGTTATGGATGATTTACTTAAAATAGCTGGTTGGTTGGAAGAAAGAGGTCAACATAAACATACCAAAATTTATGCTTCTGTACGTTCTAGTATTGTCCTTCGATCTTTACAGTTACTTAAAGAACATCAGAGAAGTGCAAGTGGAGGAAGCACACACGCAGGCAGTCCAATGCCGGTAAATTCTTCAATATAAAATTCAAATTACAATGTGTAAATAATACTTATTAATTATTTGTTTTTAGAGAGCCAAATTTCCTAATCGTCATTCAAGTGGTACCCAAGAAACAACAGGAAGATGGGCATCACGAAGATTACAACATGCACTTGAAAAAAAAGCAAGTAAAATGTTATTGAAAGCATCGCAAACTACTGGATTTGGCCTATCTTTGACTGCATCAAGAAAACCACAACCACAATTATCTGGATATTCAATAGAAGATATAGCACCAGATGAACAGGAAATGGAAAACTATCTTGTATTAACTGCAGGACTTCATAAACTTATGCAAGCAGAGCGCTCGTTGGTTGGTAGAATCTTACCTCCTTCTTTACAACTTCAAGTACTTGAAGCTACAGTACGCAGTGCTATGGATCTTGTGGCTCATGATGGTGAAAGTATTGCAACAAGGGCTAAACGATGTTTCGCGAGACGTGACTTTTCTGCTGTTTTGGTAGTTTTTCCAATTTTAAAGCATCTCGAAGAGCTTAAGCCAGACTTAGAGAGGGCTGTAGAAGGATGCGATTATGCCCTTAGATCTAAATTTGCTTATGTACTCAATGCACTGTATGGAACTGTATGTTTAAATAATTATTCTTGACAATATCCTTATTATACTCCTTAAGAAAACTTCTTGTTTATATTCATAATAAAAATATTTTGTAGGCAGCTACAGCTTTAGAAGATTTTGCAGAAAGTGTTAGAAATGAATCTAATGCAAGTTTACCTAAGGATGGTACTGTAGCAGAAGGTACAAGCAACGTCTTAGTTTTTCTAGAACAATTAGCTGAATATGCGGATACTGCAGGAACAGTTTTTGCACGTAATGCAGATGTGGAATCCGTTGTTTCATCCTCTGCAAAACAAGAAACTGAACGTAAAATTGTACTCGGCATTTACATCAGTTAGTATTAACCGAATTTTAATTTAAACAATGATATAATTAAATATAATTAATTACTTAACATTATTACAGAAAAGGTCTTAGCACAATTAAACTTAGCATTAGTCAGCAAGAGTGATGCTTCATATTCTGATCTTTCATTGCGAGCACTCTTCCGTTTAAACAATCATAACTATGTTATCAATGCTTTACGTCGCAGCTCTCTAATGGAACTTTTATTATTAGCAGAACCAACTATTGAACAAACTTATGTTGATTTACTTAGTAAAGATAAAACCAATTATGTTTTTACAACGCTTGTTAAGGCTCGAGGATTTCTTGAGCATTCATCTGATGAACCAGGTTTATAATCAATTATATGAAATATATTGAGATAACTCCAATTTTGTAGATCTAATTAACGTATTGTTTCTTTTTCAGAACCTGGTTCTAAAGTACTCAAAGAAAAGTTTTTAGGATTTACAAGAGAACTGGAAGAACTTGCTAAGTGTCAACGTTCTTATTCTGTACCTGATGGACGTTTACGAGAAGAAATACGTAAAGAACTTGAGCAAACTATCGTTCCACTGTATACTGCTTTTTATAATAAGTATCGTGGTGTCTCTTTTTCTAAAAATCCAGGCAAATACATCAAATATACACCAGAACAAGTTAAATCTGTAATAAATACTTTCTTTGATACGTCAGCATAAAATAGGATTACAAAGAATATAATTTAACAAGAAAAATAGAAAGATACTTAATAAACACCCATTTAATAAAGCATATTTAGTTACAGTATTTATGGTTTTTTTTTCTTTTTCCATGGACCGAATCCGAATTCCACCTGAGACAGATTGCACAGGATGGTGGATTTTTGACGACGTTCGAATATAGATCTTGATCCAGCCCTTTTATATATATTTATAATATATATATAAAAAAACAAGTAACGTTCGATTTAGATTCGATCAGTGACTTAAACACATAAGTGATAATAATAGGAATACATTTGAACTTCAGCATTTATGTACAATTATTTGCTATAGATTTGTTTTTTTTCTTTTTCTATACTTACACATTCGTGCTCCCTTTTTATCACACATCTGACATACCTGTCGTACACTCTATCATACATACTGCTTCTTATTTTGCATACATTTATCCTCTGCTTCATTTATGTAATTTGATGTACCTCTAATGTTCGACTGGTATGCGATACAGCCTACATTAAGACAATGTACTGTGCGTACTAATAACAGATTCTACAGTAAAACTGTAAAAAACAGCACAAGGAAGCAGAGAATGTAATAAATTGATTTTACATACATACTCATATCATATACACCAAAAACTTATACAATTGTCTGTTTTAAACTCTGGTATGTATAGAGAAATGTTGATCAGTTTAATTAAAAAGGTGCGCCATATTCCATGGTTTGCAATTGCATATGGTATTATCATGATTACAATAGCAATTTAAGTTTTATATATAGAGACAAATATGACTTTTTATATATATATACAAAATCTCCATGAATGTAAGATATTTTAAAAATATTTACTTACAGCTAATTATTTTTGAATCGAATATAATATTTGAAATTTGGCTAAAACGTATCAAGTGAGAAACCAATTCTAGCTAAATTTATGTAGCAGTAAAATAATATATCTATGATCAATGGATTACGCTAACATATATTCTCTTATAAAGATAAAATTCTAAAGATTTGTTTTATTCTTTTATGTGTATATACAGCTGCAAACTATACATGGATCACTCTCCCGTTTGATTAAGCTGATTAGTATTCGATTTTTGGGCTCTTGTACAATTACATAGCAATATTTGTATATTTTACCCTTTATATATAATTATTAATCATAATATTAATAACACACTTTAGCATACTGTACAGAATCAGTTCTTCTTTCGGTATCTTTTATACTTTGTTTATCTAGAATACCAGCCTACTTATTTTTCTCTTTGTTATGAGATTAAAGCTTGGACTGGAAATTTATATGATCAGCACAAAAAACATGTGCTTTTGATCTTTTAGATTTCAGTAACCAGAGATAACAGGATAAGTTTGCATTTTCAATGAATGTAAATTTTGTCCCAATGGTATTTTAATCTTTCAGTGTAAGAATCACC